CTTTCTTTGCTAATTTGTCAGCTATATCATTGCCTGTTATGCCACTATGACCTTTTATTTTAACCAACTTTAAATTTATAGCTGCTTCTCTGATCAACATAATTATTTTAATAATGATTAAGTTATTAGTCTTTTTAAGCCATGTTCTAGTTGTTGAATTAAAAGCTGAATTAATTGAGTTTATAGCACCTAAGCTGTCTGTATAAATAGTTACATTAGAATTTTCTGGTGCTGTTAACAATGCTAAGAAAATAGCTACTATTTCTGCCCTGGTTGATGATGGCCATAAAGATAGACATGAGTATACTGAAAATTACCCTAATTCATTGTTTGTATAGAATGCTGCTCCTAAATCCACAGTAGTATTATCTGTTATATGTGAAAGATCGTTATTATTTATAATTTGATTAGCTAGTGATCCATCTGTATAATATTCAATATTTTTCAATGACTTTAACTGATGTCTTATATCTGTAAGTTCTTGTTTAAGTGTATATTGTTCTATCCATCGATTAATCCATAGGCCTAAATTGTCTCCATTCAAATTAATTGTAGGTGTTTTTTCCAATTGTTGTATATCAATATTTGCTGAAATAGACTGTACTCTACAAGTTTACTTAGGGTAATCTTTGGCTTTTTATATAGATTTTTTCAAAATGATGAATTTTGCAAAAATGGCATTTAAAACCCTCTTTGATATTCTAAGTAAACTTGCTCAGAAGGCAAAAAAATACATATATTTTGCAAATTTTAGGGCCATATAAAGTATGTGTTAGGTTTTATTTGAAATATAAAAAAATATTTTTTTATCGCCAAAATTAATCAGGAAATGATCAGCAAAAATTGTCACGTGATCGAAGAATTGCTGCGAAAATAGTGCAAAATGATGAAATTAGATATCCATTAAATACCGATCGGCAATTAAGCATTCAACAGTTACGCCATATGAGTTACACGATTGTACAGTCACATTCCATATAAAAAATCCATTGTTTTTGTCTCTGAAACTTTTACTGTTATCGATTATGAGCAATTATTTTTTCAAAGGGTCTAAAAAGCATAATTTTTCGAACTTCATTATAAGTTTCTTTTCAATTATCCCGTCTGCGAAAGCATCTATTGTCGACAAAGTTTATGTACCTTATCAAGATGTATATGATGGGACTCTCAATGTTCTTTTTCCGATTTTTTTCGTCATTTTGTTCTCATTCAAAAATTCTCCGAGCACAAGCATGAAAAAAAATCTGTTACCAATATTAGATGATATATTATATAATATAGTCACTTGGTTGATTCCGCTAATTGTCTCTGTTTCCTATGATGATTTGTTGATCATAAAGATATTCGCGTTTGTAAACATGTTTTTGCATGTAATCTGCGCGATAATCGCAATCTCCTTGCACAAGACAATAAAACAAATGAACACTGAATTAAAACTTCAATATTTATCTCAAATGATTCGTTCTTTCTTAATATTTTTTCCGGTTATAGTCATTCCAATATTTTGGACTATCTATATTACAATTCAACATAATTTTGATTTAATCAATACTTGTTTTCTAATATTATTTGGTTTAATATTGATTTCCATTCTCTTTATATTGTTAATTTATGCTTTCAAAAATTACGTAAAACATCAAAAAAGAAGATGGGTGCATATTTTTGCAATATTCTGGTTTTATAGTCCGAATACTTTGCAAACTTTATTAATCATGTTGAAATGGCCAATTAATGTTTACTTTGTAAAATTATGGCTGTTTGTACTTATTCTATCTTTAACACGAAATGTAAGTTACTATGTTGATAAGATGCCTGATGACTTTCTGGCTACTTCAACAACATTAGTTCAAAGCTTTCTAAGTTTTGCATTATACGAAGAAAATTCAAGGGTATGCGTAAATACTTCAGATTCATCTAATCCCTTCGCGTTCACTTCAGAAGATCTTGGTCGTCTCTTTGAACCCTCGCTAAAAAATTGGTCATTTTTGGAAGAAAATGAAGGAACTGATGGTTTAATAAAAGGCCTCCATAGTGACTCTCAGGCAGGTTTAAATAGTGAATTAGAGCCAATAGGGGATTTTGGAGATGAAGATGATGAACAAAATCCTGTAGAAGGTTCTCCATTTTATCAAAGAATAAAGGTTTTTGGAAAAAATTCATTGCCAGAAAAAAAGTCAAAATTTATTTTTGAGTTAATGTGGATGGCAATACAAGAAAAAAGTTTAATTCTTTTAATAATGGCTGCATTTTTTTCATTAGTCCTTGGCCTTTATAGAGATATTGGAGTTAAAGAAGTTAATCAAACCAAAATTCATTGGATAGAGGGTGTTGCTATTATCATTACAGTTCTAATTGTTGTTTTAATTGGTAGTTTGAATGACTGGCAAAAAGAAAGACAATTTCATAAATTAAACACTAATAAAGAAGATCGTAAGATAAAAGCTAATAGAAATGGTAGAAAAACCCTTATATCAGTACATGATATCCTTGTTGGAGATGTACTCGATTTGGAACCTGGTGATGTCACCGCAGCTGATGGTGTCTTAATTTCTGGTTTTAATTTACATTGCGACGAATCTGCTGCTACAGGTGAAAGTGATGCTGTAAAAAAATTGAAATATGAAGATTGTTTAAAAGAAGAAAATGATGATGACGACGTTGCATATCACCATAAAGCTGATCCTTTTATAATTAGTGGTAGTAAAGTAACAGAAGGAGTTGGTACTTATCTTGTAACTGGTATTGGTGTTAATTCATTTTATGGTAAAATTATGATGTGTAAGTATATATATATTGTTTTTTTAAGATATATTTGATTTAATACAATATGGATATTAAAATATTCAAATAACTTTAATAGCATTAAAGACTGAACCTGAAGATGGCCCTCTTCAGAAAAAATTAAATGATTTTGCCGAGAAAATTGCAAAGTTGGGGAGTAGTGTTTCTCTTCTAATGTTTATAATTCTTCTCATAAAGTATTTTATTAGTTTTCGTAATGGAATACCTGCAGTCATCGAGATATTTGATGATTTAATTAGAATCGTTATTTCAACAATTACTCTCGTAATTGTTGCAGTACCAGAAGGTTTGCCTTTAGCAATAACTCTAGGTAATAATCTCTTCTAATTCTATTGAACATATATCTTAACCCGCATAAGAAATTTATACATCAAGTGCTGCTTATCACATAAAACTTACCAAATTTGGTAAGGACGGTTCAAATTTTTTTCACACAAACTAACTAATGTAATTAAAATGTTATTTAAATTGTAGCACTTACATACTCTACAACACGTATGCTTGAGGATGGCATTATTGTACGTGTTCTTTCGGCTTGTGAGAAAATGAGTTATATAACAACGATTTGTTCGGATAAAACTGGAACTTTAACACAAAATAAAATGGCTGTTGTTACTGGAACTATAGGTCTATCTTTTTCATTTTTTAGAAATCGTAATGATTATTCTTCAGCACTTAAAAAAGATAGTACCGGCATCAAAGTTTTATTAGAAGATATAAATCAAAAACTTCCTGAAGATATTTTACAATTGTTGAAAGAATCAATAGCCATCAATTCTACGGCTTTTGAAACTTCTGAGGATGGAAAACGAACTTTTGTCGGTTCCAAAACAGAAACTGCATTATTAGAATTTCTATCTGACTTAAATCTTGATGATATTAAATTATTAAAAGGTAATGCCGAAATCGTTAAATTGTTCACATTCAATTCTGAAAGAAAGTCAATGGGAACTTTCGTAAAAATTGAAGATTCCAAGTGGAGATTTTTTGTAAAAGGTGCTAGTGAAATTATATTAAAAAGATCAGTAAAAATAATAAATATAGTAAAATCTGACGATAATATAATAACTGACAACATAATTGATTTAACTCAAGATCATTTTGTTAAAGTCCAAAATGCAATCAATAATTATGCCGGTCAAAGTCTAAGAACAATAGGAATTGCTTATCGCGATTTTGAAAAATCTCAAGTTGAAGAGATGGTAAAAAATTCTGAGGGTGAAATTTCTTATGAGGATTTATTTGACAAATTAACGTTATTGAGTATCGTGGGTATCGAGGATCAATTAAGGGAAGGAGTTCATAAAGCTGTTGAAATGTGTATAAAAGCTGGTGTTAAGGTTCGTATGGTTACCGGTGATAATATCTATACTGCCAAATCTATTGCTACGCAATGTGGAATTTACACGGGTGGTGAGGTTATGGAGGGTCCAGTATTTCGTAAGCTTTCTCCGGAACAAATGGATAGAATATTACCAAAACTTCAAATTCTTGCTAGATGTAGCCCTGAAGATAAGAAATTACTGGTTGGTCATTTGAAAAAATTAGGCGATGTTGTTGCTGTCACTGGTGATGGTACAAATGATGGTCCTGCCCTAAAGCTTTCCGATGTTGGCTATTCTATGGGTATAACTGGTACAGAAGTTGCTAAAGAAGCTTCATCTATTATTTTAGCGGATGATAATTTTTCAAGAATTATCATATCTATTTTGTGGGGAAGAAATATAAATGAAGCAATAAAGAAATTTCTACAATTTCAGCTTACAGTTAATATTACTGCCGTATTGCTTACGTTCATTACATCTATATTAGGAGATCCCATTCTTACACCTGTACAATTATTGTGGATCAATCTTATAATGGATACTTTTGCTTCTCTTGCTCTTTCAACTGATCCTGCTAAAGATCTATTATTAGATAAAAAACCTGAATCTAGACATTATGCACCCCTAATCTCTATAGATATGTGGAAAATGATTATCGGTCAAAGTATATGTCAGCTGGTAATCACCTTGGGTTTGTTTTTTGCCTATAAAGCCGATAAACCAAGTTTTGCTAAATTGGCACAAAAAAACACTTTTATTTTTAACACATTTATATTCTTACAGATTTTTAATGAAATCAAGTAAGATTGATTTATTTATTTTTTGTTAACTAAATATTTATAGCGAATTATTGCTAATTATATATTTCATAGCTGTCGAAAGTTGGATAATAAAAAGAATATTTTTGAAGGTGTTTTGGCAAACAAATTTTTAATGATTATTTTTGTTATAATGGTTGTTGGACAATTCTTAATTGTCCAGTTTGGTGGTGCTGCCTTCCAAGTAGAACCTCTTAGTATAAAAGAATGGGTAGTAAGTGTCATATTGGGATTTTTATCAATTCCTATCGGATTTTTAATTCGATTAATCCCTACTGATCATCATCATACAACACCTCCTCCAGCAGACAATATTGATCTATGGAACGATGCAGTTACAGAAGTACAGAATCAATTACACTTTTTTAAGACACTTCGTGGTGGTAGATTCAGAGCCAATTTTGGGGATAGAAAAGATAAATCTGAAACACGTTCAAAGGCGATCGCAGCAGCTGCGATGCTGCCCAGTTTAATTTCTGCTTCAGTAGCAATACATGTAATTCAAGATATTGGAGATAACGATAGTAATGTGGATAGTATCAATTCTATAATGAACTGATGATTCTACAAGAATAAAAGTTTGTTATATAATTACTGTGTTATATAGGAACCATTATTAATATAGAGTTCTTTATAAACGCCCATCATCGGGAAATTTTTTTAGAGGATATATATCTATTAAAATGTCACGTGATATATATCGAAAATAGTCGGACTCGTTAAATTAATAGTTAAAATCGTTAAATTATTTATTCATTTGTTAAATATTTTGTTCAATAACAACCAATAAATATATTATTTATATATACTAAAATCTATACTAAAATTAGGCTGAACCAATTTGATTATCTGTTTTACATTAGTTGTTTATAAAAGTTCGGGGGAGTCGAACAAAAAAAAAATATTTTTTATGAACCACGTGACTTTTATATAAGTCACATGCAACCAAAAATTATTATTATTATTATTATTGTAAACGTAATCAATATGATGAGGAGTTGACGGCTAACCTAGTGCACTACTTGCGTCGCAAGCATAGAGAAATTTTATGGGGTTAGGTATTGATTTGCGTACAACCTGAGGATTTTTTAGCCATGGTCAGACTATTAAAATGCATATTTTTAACAGGTTTTTTGTTTAAGTAAGGATTTATTTTGCGTATTTTTAGTAATTTGACTGATCATATATATATATATTTCATTGAAATAAATAAAAATAAATATAAATAACCATTAGTGCAAAAAAACTTTATTTAGTGCAAAAAAATGTGTAATGCTTGTGCATTAATAAATACATTTATATAATTATGTGACATATAAAGTTATTAATTTTTTTTTAAAAAAACAATTCTTCGATAAATGTAAAGTTTGATCAACAAAACAATATGTAAATCACATGATTATCTGTGGTTAGGAAATTAATTTGCGTATTTTTTCCAATTATCCAAAGTAAGGAGGTAATTTTGTGTACTAAACTTATAGAAAACCCTTGCGTACAGCTATTAGTAAAAAGTTCAAAGGTCACCTTACCTTTTTATATATATTTTGGAGTTCTAGTATACTGGCATGGTGCACCATCCTATGATCGTCTAAAGCAGAAATGGAAAATGCAAGTTCGATCTATTGTAACCCTAGATATTGAAATAATTATGTGATTAGAAGAATAATTACAAAGGAGGTTTATGGAAAGCCAGTCATTCGCAATGATCTATTATCTAGAATTCTTAATGCATGTGCAGATATCTGATCCTTTATTTAGATCTTAAAGTACCTGCCTCACCAGAATCATTTGCATTAGCCAGCTCCTCAAATCAGGATTAGGGATGGCAACGGTCGGTCACGGTCGGTTATCGGTTGGTCATACCCGGTTAAGAGCCTTTGACCAACCGACCATTTTGGCTGACCGTTTTTCTAACCATTTAACCGACCGTTTAACTGATCACTTTTTAACGTTTTTTCTTAATTAAAATTTGTTAAAAAGAAGAAAGTGGAATTTAATCAAAAAAAACGCTATTTAGCTTTTTTTATTGATTAAGTTCGTAAAAAAAGGCTAAATAATCAGTTAAACAGTCAGTTAAACGGTCGGTCAGAAGCCTTTGACCGACCGATATCAGTTACGGTCATAACCAGTCATAACTGATTAATAACCGTGACCGTTACCATTCCTAATCAGGATAAATGCAGCTGGTATATTGTTTATCCATACGCATATTTTATTAACTACTGTGATATTAAAGGCTTTGTAGAAAAGATTATTGAAAAAGTAGAAAGACCATATGCAAACTATATTGACCTTGAACTTTACAAATCACGTTTCAGTCTCTGACTTTTTGGTTCGCCAAAAGGAGACAGAATAAAAAAACCAGCAGTTTTTTCAGTTGAGAAAGGTAACAAAGGTTATAAAAAACTTGATGATTATTTAATCCAACTAAAGACTTCATTGGAAATCTGGCCTCGTACTTTCTTCTCTGAAGGGGAAGAAGTAGAATAGAAACTCATAAAAGATGAGTTTGCATTAACTAAGGCTTCAGACCTAGTTTCTGCCAAGTATAGCTAGCTTCATCTTTACAGTATTAAAAATAGTTATGCATGTTTTAAGGCCTTGTCTTCTAAACCATGTCCCATTTGTGAAGTCTTACATAAAAAGAACTAGCAATATGGATTTTTCTGCAAAGATAGACGCTTCATTCTTAAATACTATCACCAGAAGCAGTATAAGCCAGATCATACATGGATATTATTTGGTGAAGAAAGTGAAGTGTTCTCCAGTACTTCCAAGAAAACTGTGTCTCAAATCAGTAGTGCAGTTTCTCCAGACTTGTGAGATTATCCAGAATTTCAGAAGAAAATTCTTGAAAGAATACTAAAGATATATACCAGCAGATTCACCTCATGGATATTTTCTAAATATCAAAGTACATTTCCCTCTTAAACCTATGACTATTTGAGAAATTTACCTCCTGCCATAAAAAGTATTGCAGTAAAAAAGGATAGGTTAAGCCCATATATCGCAAATCTTGTTGAAAACTTAGATGGAGGATAATTTTCCAAAACAGAAAAATTAGTTCTACATCTTGGTAAGCATGAAGATTATATTATCCACTACCAAGAGTTCCAGTATTACGTTAAGTTAGATATAGTCATAGATGAAGTTACACAGGTTCTGTCATTTAAACAGACTAATTGGTTGGCACCTTATATTGCAAAAAATACAAACCTATGTCAGTAGGCCAAGAATTCATTCAAGAAGGATTTCTTTAAACTTATGAATAACTTAGTCTATGGCAAGACTATGGAGAATATATGTAAGTATCAAGACATTAAGCTTATGAAAATGATCAATGAAAATGATGAAAAGAAATTTTTTAAGAAAGTTCGTAAGCCCTCCTTCAAGTATACTCATCAACTTGGCAATACACTTGTAGGTGCACATATGAAAAAGACTAGTATAACTCTCAATAAACCTATGGTAGCCATTATCTATAAATCCCACTAATATTATGTGACTTCAAATTTTTATAAATTGTAAATTAAATAGTAAAAAGAAAAAACTAAACTGATAAAATGATAGAATAATATGCACTGAACATTTCTATCAGATTATTTTATAGAATTTAATAAGAATTTTAATTAATATTATGGGTTAAAGTTAGATAATTTTAATAAGTAGCAATAATAAAAACATAAAATTTTGAACTAGTTTTTATGTAATTTTTATGGATTTTACAAAAATTCTATGAAAATCCACAAAAATTTCATGTAATATAGCAAAAAAAAATTTTGCCGCTTACGTGGCAATTATTATATTTAGCAAAGTACTTTAAAAATAAGTTATATAATATAAATAAATAAAATTTTAAATTTCAGACTATACTATTATTAATATTGTTGTTTATAGATGACGACCACCATATCATTGTCAGTGCATCTGTTAAATTCTTAATATATCGCTTCTGGTATAGTTTCGTCAAGAAGAAGTATGGAGACAAAGCACAACTTGGATATATAGATACTGACTCTTTTATCTATCATATTGAGACAAAAAAGGATATAGCAGAGTGTTCAGACCTATTCGATCTTAATGATATTAAGACTATCAGACTTTTCAAGGATAAAACTCCTGAAAATGTTATTACTAAATTCTACCATATTTATGCAAAGTCATACCACTATGTCTTGGCAAATAAGTCTATGAAGTCCAAGCATAAAGAAATTAGCAAAAAGTAGGGCTCCAATCGATTTCGGTAACTATTGAATCATATCGATCAGTTTCAGTATCAGATTAGTTTTGGTATTCTGATTTACCAAACTGAACCTTTCGGTAAATTTACTGATCAGTTTCAGTAACTTCGGTTTTGGTATCAGTTTTGTGATTTACCAAACTGATTTACCAAACTGAAACTTTCAGTAAGTTTCAGTAAATTTTACCGATCAGTTTGGTAGATTTTACGGTAGATTTTACTGAACAGTTTAGTAGATTTTATGGTAGATTTTACTAAACAGTTCGGTAGATTTTACCATTCAGTTCGGTAAACTTTACCATTCAGTTTTGGTAGATTTATTGATCAGTTTCGGTAAATTTACCGAACTGATTTACCAAACTTTGTGAAACATTTATTAGTCAAAAAAAAAAATGTTGCGCAACATTTTTTCTTTTGTTGATTTTATAAAAATGTTGCGAAACATTTTTTATTTGGCAATTTGGTAAAAAAAAGTTTTGCAACTAGGCTTCGGACTTCAATCATACCAATAAGGATGACTGTAATATTGCGGCAAAAATCATAAAAATAAAAGCGTCAGACTTGACGTTTTTATAATTTTTTTATTTAATTAATTAAAAACGTCAAACTTAGTTGGCACTTTTTGATTAAAAAAAAAATATTTTAGTTAAAAAACGCTGCACTTGACGTTTTTTAACTAATTTAATTTATTTTTTATTAAAAAACGTCAAAGTGCAACGTTTTTAATAAAAAAATACAATTTTTTAGTTTAAAAACGTTGCACTTGGTATTTTTAACTAATTTTTTTTTATTAAAAAAACGTCAAAGTGCAACATTTTTAATAAAAAAATACATTTTTTTTTTAATTTTTTAGTTTAAAAACGTCACACTTGGCGTTTTTTAATTAATTAATTTTTTTCTTATTAAAAAACATCAAAGTACAACATTTTTTCTTTTCTTTTCTTTAACAATATTAGTAATAAGGTTGCTTGTCTAAACCTCTTCAAAATCCTACGATTAGTTTCGTCAAAATTTTACTATAGATTTATTATAATTTTAGTAGAGTTTTGGCAATTTCGGCATTTATAATAAGTTTCGGCAGTTTCGCCTTTCTCCAAAGTTTTGCCAGTTTTTTAATATAACTTTAATATAGTTTTGGCAGAATTTCACTTTTTAGCGAAATGCAATATTACCTAAACCCCTAGATTTCAGCAAGCAACCTTAATTAGTGCTCCTAACAGATCGGTTCAGATCTGATTTAGCTTAAATCTGATCTGATCTGATTTTTATTTTAATAGATCTGACCTGATCCGAATCTGATCAGATCTGGTTCAATTTGA